TAATTGGCAAGAAGCTGGCAGAAAAATTGCATTTGCAGATTCATCATTGAAAGCTTGAATTCTTCACAGAACTCTGATAACAAAACAAAACTTATTTTATGTGGCTAGATTGCTTCTACCTAAAAAAAACAGTGTTTGAAAAATTTAAAAATAATTTTTGTCATGTTTAGGCTGCTCATATTATTTGAAAACAACAAAAAACTAAATATTGCTCCTCACAAAACTGTCAATTTGGACTATATTATTTAGAAATTGTTTAAATTTTTGAAAGCAGAATATGTTTTCTGAAAATGTTTTTGTTTTGAGCCTAAAAAAATTTGACAGCAACTAAACATTTTTAAAAAAACTGCTGTTTTCATGGAAAGGTATCTGGTTTTCATAAATGTTTGTTGTCCAGAGTAGTATAGCAAATTTACACTGGGATCGGGTGGGGGGTGATCCCGGGAGGGATCATTGGGAACAAAATTGAGATCCCAACGTAAATTTTTTAGAAAAATTTGTCAAAAAAAAATTTGGGAAAAAATTTTTTTTCGAGAAAAAATTTGTCGAAAAAAAATTTGGGAAAAATCATTTTATCGACAAAAAATTTGTCGAAAATTTGAGAAAACAAATTTTTTCGATGAAAAAATTTGTCGAAAAAAAATTTGGGAAAAAATTTTTTTTTGAAAAAAAATTTGTCGAAAATTTGGGAAAAAAAAACTTTCGAAGAAAAAATTTGTCGAAAAAAAAATTTAGAAAAAAATTTTTTTCGAAAAAAAATTGCCAAAAATTTGGGAATAAATCCCCCCCTTGTTCACCTCTTATCATCACATGTTTTAATTACATCATCTGCAAATGTAATTAGTCATGTTAATGACCACACATAATCATATCGATTTTTATTATCCAATCATCATAATGAGTTAGTAGTCAATGTATAAACGATTAGTAATCATTTATTCATTTTATCTAGATCATCGTAAGCTTTCAGCCAAAGGCATTTCCATGGCAACTCAAAATTTTCTCACTCATCGGAAGTATGAAGAAACTCTTGAGACGGGTAGTCTCTATCGAGCTGAAAACACCAGAACTGCATCTGACCGTCATGTTCTGAATACTGTTCGTACGAATAAGATAGCATTATCATCGTTCGACAATAAACGGTATATATTTGATGATGGCATTTCAACGTTGCCATATGGTTACATCGAGCCTTCAAATGAGTCTTCAGAACCGCCTTCAAACGATAGTCGTGGTGGTAAAAACAGCTCTACATTTCATGCCTATAGTGCGAACGATGAAACGTTAGATCGAGATAGTGATGACGATGACGATCTAGATGCTTGAGTTGCTCATTTTGAAGACAATGACGCACCAATAGAATGGGATCAAGAGAATATACTAGATGGTATGTCGCAAGAACTTGATCGAACACAAATAGACTGGGATTATACGCAAAATGTGCAATACGGTGGTCAAGATAGCTTCATTGAACCCAGCACAAGTCAATCACATGTACATCGTTCATTATTCGATCTTATGTCAACAGCCTCAAATGAAATAGGATTCCAGACTCCGCATCCTGGATTTGCACGTCTCAATCAGATAAACGAGAGTGACCTTGACAGTGACGATATTGCCGATTTGAGTGCTGAAACTTCTGCAGAATCGTCTTCAGAATCGTCGGATAATTCTTCTCTAGATCGTGAAGCCGTTGAATATGTGCCAACGCAACCAAAACGTTTTCGTAGGAAATAAGAAAAAAAATATATTTGTTAATGTGATAGTGTGTTAAATATTGTGCAGTAAAGAGTAACAGCATTTACATTCAGTGGCCAAGCCAGAAATAATTTTGCTTCAAACGCTTCTTATCTAATATTGATTTTAAGACAAGTTTTATGTTTTAATGTGTACCAGTGTGCGGGTTAGAATTGGTGTTATATTTGAACCAAAAGTTTACAAAGTTCAATTTAACCTTGAAATGTATGTTTTCCGTTTAATTCTTCATCAGTTTCTTCCTGAAAGTACTTCACATAGACGTTTACAGAAACCAGTCTATAGTAATACATAAAAATTTCAAGCAGATTCTATACATATATTTCAAACATATTCGGTGCAGAAATCAAGCGTCTTTTATATACCATGCATGAAACTAATCGCTATAACCACTTTATATACCACTCCAATTTGGTGCATGAACAAAAAGAACGAAATACACCGTCTGGGCGTTTGGACGATTTAGCTATCAACCTAACAAAAATTTACATTCAGGATCATTGGTTAAAAAAATTATACATTGGGATCAAATTTGTGGGATAATTATTTGGGATCATGAAAAATTTTACATGGGATCAGTACTTTTACATGGGATCTCAAAAATTTACGTTGGGATCTCAATTTTATTCCCAATGATCCCTCCCGAGATCAACCCCCCCCCCCCCCCCCTCCCCCGATCCCAGTGTAAATTAGCTATACTACTGTCCAATTTTCATAAATGTTTAATGTTAGACTTCATGGCAGGGCTCCTGGAAATTCCCTGGTAGGAACCTCAGGGTTGCCCTGGATTCTTTAAGTTCTTTGAAGGAAGTCCAACGTTTTCCCTTGCCTATGTAACACGGGAAACAATCTCTTTTTTAAGGTCGTATTCTCAAAATTTAAAGTTAAATTCTGCCATCTATACCATTTTTTGTATGGTGCGGGATTTTGAAGTTTCCTACAACCAAAGTGATAGTTTTAGCAACCGTATTTTGGCGCTTTCTTTTGTTCTTCCAGTCGGATGGACTTGAAAGTTTTGATTGTAAATAAATGGTTAGTTTCGAACAATTTGATTTTTCAAAAAACGTTTCAAATTGATGCTTAATTTTCAGGCGAGAAGTGTGTGCTGTCTTAACTGAATCTCAAACTTTATGCGTCATCACTTACTCTTCTGGAATCTCGTTTAAAAACTGACAACATTTGTGGTCGAACAGATATAATTCAAAATATCTAAGCCCATAGAACGTTTAGATAGACACGAAACGAGCGGTGACGACACATAGCTGCAAACAAGAAGAATTAAGTGCGCTTCAGTCTTGTTTCATAGTTTACTTGTTAGTCAGTAGCTTGTCAGTAGGTTCTATCCCGTCAAACTTGATTTTTTTAGAATAACATCTACCGGAAGGTCGAATAGACGACAGTCATGGTACGCAGCAGTCCAGATTTGCCGTATCGGAAGAAAGCTCTGGAGTCAAACTCGGAACTCTTGGGATCGGTCATTCGAACCTTCTTTGTTTGAAAGCACAGATGTCATAAATGAAGAAGAAGAAGAAGAAGAAGAAGAAGAAGAAGAATTTCCAAGTTTCCCGGAATCATTTATCATTGCTTCGAGTACCGACAGCAATGATGAGGATCGATCTCTAGAGCAAACTTGATCCCGCTCCCGCCAATTCCATCAACACCACCAGTAATTGATCCGAACTAGCAAAGTTTCCTTTGCCTCCGTTTCCTCGTGTCGAGTGATATGGTCGGTGCCTTCGCAGAAGTCGTGTCTTACAGCCATTTCGTGTACTACGCTCTATTGCCCGCTGAAGTCGCTTCTTTAAAAGCTTTAATTTATCACTACGTGAAGAAATTTTTTAAAAAAATCAAATGCCTGTTGTTTCCATCGTCTTTTGATAATTTATTTGGAATACTGTTGACTGCTTCTGCGAAACATTTTCCCTGTCCCTTTTTATCTTCGTAAATATTTTGAGTGAGCGGCAGGATAATTTGTGCCTTGGCTGGCTTTTGGTCTTTCTCGGCCTCATTTCCAGCAGCTACTGTAGCATTCCGTTCCGAGGTCCGCGACCCATGTTTCGACCAGAATGAGTAGCCGAAATGGACTTTCTGCGACCGAACTTCCATCATCCCGCAAGAGGCTTGAGTCGCACGAAAACGCAACATAGCTAATTTGGGTTGCGCAAAGTTGCAACATAGCTAATTCGGGTCGCGTAAAAATTGTTCGAGTCGGTATAAGTATCAAAAACCTCGAACCGGGTCGCGCAAAGACTACGTATCATATTTGATTCTCAATGGTTGCAAATCGCATCATATATGTTTTGGGTCTTGCAAAGTCGCGCAAATTACTTCGGTCGCACAAAATCGCAATACACCAATTTTTTGCCGCAATGGTTGCAGAATACTTCTTTGGGTCGCGCAAAGTCGCATCATATCTTTTTTGGGTCGCAAAAAGTCGGAAAAAACTCTGCGATCGCTCAAATTTGTAACATACCCATTTTGAGTCGCAATGGTTGCAACATACCTGATTTTGGTCACGCAAAATCGCAACATATCTTTTTTGGGTCGCGCAAAGTCGCACAAAAATTCTTCGGTCGCGCATAGTCCCATTTTGAGTCGCAATGGTCGCAACATACCTGATTTGGGTCGCGATGGTCGCAACATAAGTCCCGATTTCGACCCGGGATGTGTTTGAGGAGGGAGAGAATTGTCGTTTTCAGATACCGTTTGTGAAATTCACAGAAATATGATAAAAATTATAACTTATTCTATGTGACTAGATGGCTGCTAACTGAAAAAAAAACGGTGTTTGATAAGTTAAATGTATTCCAGACTCAGCCCTGGAATCAGGAAAACCGAGGTTTTTTTCCCTGGCTTTTTCCCAGGAAACAATCTCCCTCTTTTAAGGTCCTATTCTAAAAATATTAATCAAATATCTGCCATCTAATTACTTTTCCATTTACGGTGCCTCATGATTTTGTAGTTTCCCACAACTAAATTGATAGATTTAGGGGCCGTAATTTGGCGCCTATTTTTGTTATTAAGCGCCTATTTCAGCTGTAAAGTGAGTTATACAATGTCGGATGGACTTGAAAACTTCGATGGTAAATAAATGGTTAGTGTAGATTAATTTGATACTCTAAAAGCGCTTCAAATTGATACCTAAACTTGAGGCGAGAATTGTTTGCTGTCTTAAACGGATCTCAAACATTATTGGTCATAACCTAATTCTGGAATCTTGTCAAAAATTGGCAACATTTGCTGTCGAATAGAAACTATTCAAATTATTTAACCGCATAGAACATTTAAATAGACACGAATCGAGCGGTGACGACACATAAACGCAAACAAACAGATTCAATTGCGCTCAGTCTTATTTCATAGTTTACTTGTTAGTCAGTAGCTTGACTACTTTACCCATTTCTATCCCGTCAAACCTGAATTTTTTCGAATACCATCAACTGAAAAGCCGCGAATATAAGTCAGATATGCTATATCCGAAGACGAAGGAAGCTTTAGAATCACTATTTAACTCAGAACACTCGGGTTCGGCCCATTCACTAGCGTCGGAGCTTTCGGTGGCATCGTCGGAGATCGTAAACAGCTTCGGACACCCTCCTTTGGTTGATGATGGGGATCCATCTCTCGATAACGTTTTCGAGATTCAGATTCCATCCTGTTCACAAAACCGCCGGACCCAGCGAGAGATATTTAACAATTTCGAACACTCTGTAGTTGAAAGTGCAGCTGCATTGAATGAAGAAGGAGAAGAAGAGTTTCCAAGTTTCGTGGAGTACTTCGACTCTTCGAGTCCCGACAGCGATGACGAGGATCAATCTTTTCATCAAAGTTTCGGGATTCGCATCCCTTCATGTCCACCAACGCCACCAAGGATTGTTACGAACGCGCAAAGATGTCTGCGCTTCCTCAAGTCCAGTGATATGCATGGTGCCTTCGCAGAAGTCGTGCCTTACAGCCATTTCGTGTACTACGCTCTATTACCTGCTGATGTTGATTCTTTCAAAGCTTTACTTTATCACTATGTGGACAAATATAAAAACGATCAAATGTCAGCAGTGGAATTTCGTCTGAACTCAGAACCAATCATACAAAGTGGTCGAAATTTTCCGAGAACAACTGTCCGATTCTTTCGCATGGCAGCAGAAGAGTTGCAAAGTCAGGAGAGATCTCCCAACTTGGGAGTCATGGCTGAGTCAGATTGCGACGTTTGTGGTGAAATGAGAATCTTGATGAGCAGATCTTGTTGCAACTACAACATATGCAATGAGTGTATGGCAATGTACACTGCCGGACAAGTCGTACAGAAATACGAACTTGTTTCAGTCGAATGTCCAAACTGTCGGAAATGTATGCATACCGAGGAGGTCCGATACCGTCTGAAGTATTCGCTCTTCCAATCAGCACATGAAATTTATCAGGAGCGCATTCGCGAAGTCGCCCTGTCCAGCTCTGAGTACTTTTGTCCACACTGTCGCAACATTTTACAAGCCCACGAAGGTTCCTCGAATGCGCGGTCCAAAATTTTAAAGACCTGCAGCTCCTGCGGAACCCAAAGCTGCTCTAGGTGCCGGGTGCCATGGCATACTGGAATGTCCTGTAAACGATATCAGGAGGGTGAGAGAAGTATGAGACAATGGGCTCGTGGAACAGTTGTCCAGCGAAACGCAGTCCAGTGTCCCGGATGCCGACGATGGTACCAAAAAAGTGACGGCTGCGACCACATGTCGTGCAAGAAATGTAGGACTGAATTCTGCTATTCGTGCGGGCGGAAATATCGAAGTATTAAGTTCATTGGTTCCCATACCAGCTCTTTCAGTGTCCTGGGGTGTAAGAACAACTTCATGAGAGGTCATCCAGTGTTGCGAGAGACGATCCGCGGTTCGATTCTGGCCGGTGCCGTTGCGGTGGCACCTGTTGTTGTTCCAGTCGCTGCTGTTGGAGGAGCTGGATTACTTGTGGTTATCGGCAGTACCAAATTGGCCCGAGCGGTCGTGCGAAAACTTCGCTAAACTGTTTGCCAACCTGGTGCTAAATCAAAAGATGGTGCCTATTCGCTAGATTTAGATTTAGATCTATTTTACAAATCTTTCACAATATCAGATAATTTCTTAATTTATTTTAATACAATATTTTTCATAGAATAACGAGAGAATCGTTGGAGAACACACAATGTCTAAAGGTGTTATTTCAATTCTTGTTCAAAGGGCTCGATAGTTGCAGAATTCAATTACCAAAATCTCAATTTTCTCAATTTTTTTTACTGTTCTTGTTAAATACGGCAATTAGTCTCAGATGTTCGCAAATTACAGGTTTCACTATCGATGATTCGGAGTACGTTTGTACTGAATTTTAATTCTGACCTGGAAAAAATAAGCAAACTACGTTTTTTTTGGAAAAAATAATTATCTCTCATAGAAAACTACTATTTTTTGAAATAAAGGTTGAAGTTCCACTTATTCGAGACTGTGCATTTTGTAATTTTTTCGAATAAATTTTGACGGCTGGTCTTTTCATTTCTAAACTTAGGCTTTTTAAATACTTTACCAAGTCGAGTTTCAGCAACGTTCTGGGGTAAAAAAGCAAAAACGATCCAAAAATTGGCCACGTTATAATTAATTGCAAACAACAACAACTTTCCAACTGTCTGCGTAAATTTTATTCAGTTTATTGAATAGCCGAACAATTTTCAACAAATTTTTTCAATTGTACTGAGGTTTATTGTTTTATATGTAAAGTCAAGAGTTTGTGGAAGCCAATTGTTACATTTTTGAACTAATAATAACCTGCACAAGGATAAACAAAACTGATTGTATCGGGGCAAAACCCTGAGTTTTTCGACTGCCTTTTAACAGTTTTCGAATATTTTTTGGTTTATGAAATATTGACAAGTTTAAAATTATAGGCAAACTATATCAAATTTCAAGTGTTAAGATTTGAGTCGTATTTAAAATTATTGAGACTGCTCGTAGCAAGGTGAAGTTCTGAATGTTCCGATTGCATTTTAAGGTCTGGATAGTTTTCATTTTAAGAAATGAATGAAATTTTTTAAAAAAATGAAGAAAAAATCACAGTTTGCCTTAGTTTTTTTTTTGATAATATATAGACCAAATAATTTGCCTCAATTCAAATTGGAATGATTTTTAAGACGGATTAAACCCCCGTTTACGCGTTATAAGCACAAAAATATCGCGCGTTAATTGTGCAAAATCGACCAAAATGCCAGTATTTTAACCTGCACAACTTCTCAAATGTGAAGACTTTTTTTCTAATTTGAGCTTATGGCAACAATAACTTTCGAATGATTTTTAAAAATCTGTCAAAAATTGCTAGTTAAAAAATCAAAAAGTCCGGAGAAATTGAATCACCCTGAGCACAAGTTTTTGGTCATTTTTTTAAAAACTAGTTGACACAAAAAAAAATCAACATGCTTGCCTCAACTCAATTTGGAACCATTTTATTTTAAGGTATGATTCCTTACAGTTTCAGCATCAAAGTATAAAACAAGCAGTTTACGCAGACTCGGTTCAGATTAACTTGCCAGTCATATTATTATAGTGGTTAGCGCCTGCTTTCGGAGACCAAATAGGCCCAGAGATTGAACCCCCCAGAGAGCAAACAATTTATTTGTAGAGGTCTGAATAAAAAACACCCCAAGCTTATGTATTTCTGAACAAAATTTCTTTGTCTTAAAATGAATTCCCCAAAAATTACAATTGTAGATCAGTTTAAAAGCATAATGCTTACAAGTTTGTTGTTCAATTTGTTGTTGATTTTCAAACAGACACAACTGTCCAAAATTTCTTAGCTACAGCAAATGATTTGAAGAAATGGCCATTTTTGCTTAAAGCGCTGAGTTTTTTCGGTCTGAGTTTCAAAAGAAAAAAGAAGAAGCATTGTCTAAAGATGAACAAGAGTGCTCGTATCAGGGCGAAGCCCTGAATGTTCCTACTGCCTTTTGACGTTTATGGAGCAGTAATACAAAAAAAATTAAATGTAATAAAATAAAATGGACATTTTTTTTCTCTAAAATTTGAAATATTTTTATGAAAAACATTCCCCCACACGCCATATAAAGTACAAAAGATAGATTTTGCTCCTTGTATCAAACAATTTATGGCAAATAAGCTTCTTTCAACCAACTTGGAACGATTTCTAAGACGGATTAAAACTCCGCTTACGCGTTAATAGCGCAAAATATATCGCGCGTTAATTTTCCCAAATTGGCCAAAATGGCACTCTTTAAACCCCCATAACTTTACGAAAAATGGTCACAGGTGAATTTTCTTTTCAAATTTAAGCGCAGGGTAACAATAGCTTTCGAATGATATAAAAAAAATTGCGTCAAAAATGGCTAGTTAAAAAGTCGAAATTTGTCTGAAGAAAAAAAAACCCACCCCGAGCACAAATATTCCGTTACTTTCGTATCGAAAGTCATAACAATAACACGGAGATGAGTCTGATTTCGACAAAAAAACTAATGCATCAACGCATGAAGTTTGCATATCAAAAACTTATCGATGATTTTGTAATAAAAATCTTTTGAGTTGAACATGCGTTTGTTAAAAAAAACAATTTGATTCCCTCTTGTAGATCAAATTAAAATAAAAATCATTTCCGAGAAGAGCTTTCCGTCTTTAGTTTTTGACTTCGATCAGCTGTATTTTTCGGAATGAGAAACGCACTTGCAATTAACTTTTTCTTTCATGTTTTGACCCATTTAGTTTTAAATACAAACATTTTGTGAATATTGTTCACCTGCAGAATCAGGTACCGATTAACACGGGACATTGAATTTCTAGCTCTAGTCAGATTAGATTGTCAACGGAGGTAAAAAAAACGGGTCTGAACTAGACACTGAACTTAATAACGAGCAAAACAAACAAATTGAATGTATTTTGACGGGTAATTGAACAAATAAGGCGATAAAGGAACACTTGTTTTTCATTTTTTTTTCAAATCGAACGTAAAAAGACAAGCTGCTGTAAAACAAAGTGATTCAATTTTCAATTTATAAATTTAATTAAATTGGGGTCCTTTGTTAATGCTCTGTTTGCTTTACTGTCCGCAATTAATTTTCTCTGAAGTTCACTGTCTGGATCAAACCCGTCTTCTTGTTATTCGTGTTTCTGTTTCAAACAAATGACAATTCCGGGTTTCCAAAAATGGTACCATAATCTATCATTTAACCTTCGACTAATGACAGCAAGAAAAGCATCATAGCATAGTTGAGACATTTTAGTATATGTCAAACACCTTATCAAACACTGGTAGGCTCTTCGTTAAAAGAAAATATACCCAAAAACATACTATTGGTATTGTATGAATGTGCTTCTCTATTTTTTGCTTAAATAGTGCTGATTCTTTGTGCTCAGTGAGTTTGAAGAGTTTTAAATATTTTTCAATCTGTTTTGAAAAGCTGCAATCCTGCTGCGTTTTTTCTGAAGTTTATGTCAACCCTATTTTGATAGATTTTATGCAGATAAAAAGCTTAGAGATTGTACTTTTTATGAGTAAACCTTGTTTATCACTCAGAAAAAAAGTTTTCGTTTTTCACAGATCTTAAGCCTTGATTGTGTGGCTTTTTGAAGAAAAAAAAAAGCAAAAAATAGGTCAATATATTACTGATAACAGCCCCCAAAAATACTGATTCAAATCTAAACGGAAAGTTATTGATAAAACCATAATTTTTCAATATTTAAGAGATGAAATTGTTTTAATAGATGGATTCAGAACAAAATAGAAAGTTTGTTTTTCTACTTGCGTTACAAAAGAAAAAAGCACAAAAAATGATTGGGTTGACTATTTTTTTAAGTCAAAGAATAGAAATGCACTCACTCCCTTCACTCTCGAAAAGAAGCGAGTCAGACTCAATTGTAGAGTATTGCTCGAAACGTTGTTGATGCAAATCAAAAAAGAATGTAAAATTTTATAATTGAGTCTGACTTGCATCATTTACTAAAGCAAAAATCATGTAAGTTGAAATTTCGTGAAAACACAATTTTTTTTGTTGACTTGTTTAGTAAGTGTTAAAATAGAAATTGATAGAAAATATAAACACAGAAAAAAAACGCATAAAAATATCCAAATATTGATGTAGAAACGATGTTGAAATTTAAAATTAACAGCAAAGTTGTTGTTAAAAGTGAACCAATTATTAAGCTAGATATATTTGTCAGTTTATCAAATGGCTAACCAAAAACTGAAAGAGCAAAAAAAAGAAGTGAACAGTTTGTCGTTTAAGGGGTGTAAGCAACTGATAATGCGATGTGAAACATTACGTGCGAGAAAAAATATTTATTCAGTGTGACATCTTTTGCGAGCTCAGCTGTAATTTAAAATTTTACGCAGTTGGAAAAACGTCCGTAAAAATGCTTTACAAACACTAGCACTGGTTTTTGTAAAATTGAAAAAAGTTGGTAATTTTTCAAATCAAATTTTGATAAATTATCGAGGATATAACTGATCATTTTCTCTTGGTTCAAGTAAAAAGAGGGTAAGCTAGAGAAAACTAAATATTCGTTAATGTTGCACAATAAATAAAAAAATGCACGACGAAAAACAATGTAGAAGGAAAAATGTGGAAATTTTTCATTGACAAGCGAGCTTAAATTTTTCATCGTAATTTCAAATCACATCAAAACTATTATGCCGGTCTTTCTTGAAAGTCCCAATTTTTTTTCATTGTCGAGAGTAAAACGTTCAAAAATTTAGTCAAAGTTAGAGGGAAAAAAGTCTGTTAAATGATACAAGAAATTCCAAACTTTCCGACTGGGAAGTTTTTGTTGCTCTTTGTGTGCTCTTCCCAGGACTAAAACCTCTAAGAATTTGTAAATGAATCTGAAACAATGAAAAAATGATGTTATTGGATTTTTTTAAAATCTTGAGAAAAACATATCCAAAAAACTTTTTTTTTTAGATTGAGAACTGTATTTAGCTGGAATCATAATTATTGCTAGAAGTGAGTTCTTGTTGTTCATCCCATACCACAAACACAACAAAAAAACAACAAAAAGTAAAACGTTATGCGTAAATTTTCCAACGAAAAATTAGCCGTCAAACTTTCTGTCTCTCAAGCTCACAACACGGCAATTCTGACGTGCTTCGAACTTTGTATCCAGAAATTTGAG